TGTATGCTGAAATAAACCTCTTATCCCTTGAGTGGTTTCTGTCATCTAGATCATGACAATAACACTGATCTAGATCCCCATGAGCACAGGTTGTTATACCAAGAGTAAAACCTGGTCCCTGAATCTCTCCTGCTCCTTAACTGGTCATGTGATCTCTCTATTTCCTGTGTATCCATACACAAGGCTGCCATCCATGTTGTGACATAGGCAGAATGCCCAAACCAGAGTTGGGCAGATGCCAGCACTGTGTTTTTGTACTTCTAAAATTAATTGTGTACCATATAGAGCCCCTTTTTAAAAAATATATTACTCAGTCTCAGGGGGTTTTTTTGTAACACAAAATGGACTGAGGCATCTGTAAGCAGAGATTGCACATTCATTTCCCAACCACCCAGACGTAAATAATCACACAGAAACTATATTAATTATGATACTGTTTGGCCTATTAGCTTAGGATTCTTATTAACTAACACTTAATCTTAAATTAACCCATTTCTATTCATCTGTGTATCACCACAAGGCTGTGACATACTGGTTAAGGTTCCAGCGTTCTGGTGTCTTTCTCCATTGGCAGCTACATGACATCTCTATAACTCTGCCTATTCTCTCTCTCTCTCTCTCTCTCTCTCTCTCTCTCTCTCTCTCTCTCTCTCTCTCTCTCTGTTCAGATTTCCTGCCTGACTTTAATCTGGTAAGCCATTGGCTAAAACAGCTTTATTCATTAGCCAATAAAAGCAACACATATACAGAAGGACATCCCACATCATCTCCCCTTTTCTGTCTAATTAAAAAGGAAGGTTTTTAACTTTAACATAGTAAAATTACATACAACAAACAGTTATCAAGCCAGAATTACAGTTACAATATTTCTTTGTGAGTCTAAAGTTTCATATCTAATTTATCTTGCATCATAACTAAGGAAAACTTTAGTTATAACTATTCTATTCTTCAACTTCCTCAAAGACCCCAGAAGAATAATATATTACCTAAGTAAACAGGAAGTGCATTGCAAGCAACTTCCAAAACTCTAGAATTGACAGAGACATCTTGCTGCCTGGACAGTCCCCCAAAGTTCTTCTGTAATGTTGGGGCATCCATATTCAGCCTACAGGCCCAAATTATCTGGCAGACTTTTTCCATGAAGCAGGAAATTTGAAAGACTGTTTTGCCTATATTGGCAGTTTGTCAGTCACTTTCTTTTGTGTGCTGCAGAATGTCTGGCAATCTCTTTCATGAAACAGGAACACTGAAGGACTGTCTCACCTTCTTTGAGCAAGTTCAACAGTCATTTTTCTGTGGGTCCTTCATGTCGATTTCATACAGCATGTCATTAAGCAGTTCAGGCAAGAGCAGTTTCTTGCCCAAATGGCTAGCAAACTTCATAAGGAACCTCTTTGATGCCCATCATTCTCTTGAAGTAATTAGTGCTGCCAGAAGCAGATATTTCTCACTGTTGAGAAAAGCCTAAGTTCTTAAAACATTTTAAATGCCATATTCCATAGGTGTTTGAAGTATTGAAGATTATCTAACACATCTCTGTATATCTAGAAAATATAACTAACATGACATCAAGTTTGGCTATTATAAATGACTATCAATCTCTATTTTTTAATTATACATTACATTTTTAAATGAGCTACAAAATACAATACCATAAACAAGAACAGAAATACATAAACACAGTATAAACTGTAAATTTGTATCAATAGACCAAGATTCATACCAATGCAGAGTATTCATCTTTATATCATACATATCCCTCCTTTTTAGAAAAAGATTGACTGTGACTACTTAAGCATTTACAATCAGCCCCTATTAAATGAAAACAAACATTTATAAACAATCATTTTGGGAATTTGGCCATAGTTTTCTCCAAACTGCTTCCTGTTGTTTGTTAGGTGAAGTAATTTTAGGGTTCATAGAGACCTTTCAGGAGGTCTTAGTCCATCAAATTACATTAGCCTGAAAGAAATCCACAGGTTTTCATCTTTTGTGGAAACAAAAGCAGAATCTCTTTTCCAAAGTAATATCCTTAGCCTCAAATTTTGAAGTCAAGATATCTTTTAAATATATATTTTGGTTTAGTTTAGCAGCCCTTTAATGAAATGTCTCTCTGTACTTAGCTCATTCATAGTCAAAAAATTTTAAAAAAACATACTAGTATATATAATCCAAACTCTCTGTGTATTTTCCATCTTTATGTGGCTTTTTTTCACTATATCACTTTTTAATATTTATTTTATTATCTTTACTCCTTTAATCTATAATTGCCTGTACTTTTTTCCTCTCTCTCCCAAGCCTTCATACATTTTTTAAAATACACTGTGACCTATTCAGAGGTCTATTTTTGTCTGAATCTGCAATCATTTTCTGATCAAGAGCATCTTTTTTCTTTTTTAAAAATACTAAGTTGGCATGACTAGGACCAACTCCACAGTCCTGCCTGCTGGCTTTGTCCCATCCAACATGGAGAGATATGTTCACTACCTCTGCAAGCCATGCTCACCACCCCAGCTTCAGGGATGCAGCGCATCTATGTCACAATTAAGCAACTAGGAGCACGCTGCTCACAAACCCCATTCAAGTGCAGGACCTCCCAAAAGAGACAGAGTTCATGCTGCCAGCATGAATCATGAAACTGCTGTTTCTTAAAGAAGCCTCCCAGGTTTTGCTGCTAATGCTGAGTCAGGAAGCCTTCTCATAAAGGAGCTGTGCCTCTGTTTGCTGCCAGCAAACAGAACCCATCTGGGAAAAAATGTGACTACCAAGAAGCTGCTCTTGGCTCCCATTTTTGTGGGCCTAGAAGCCCTCCTTTTCTTACGCTTTCCTAGGTCTTATGTGGATCTATGCCCCAGATGGTGGATGCCATTTTTTAGATGGAGGCTCCTTGTTCATTTCCCAGCCGACCACACCCAAATAATCACACAGAAACTATGCTAATTACAATACTGTCTGGCCTATTAGCTCAGGCTTCTTATTAACTAACTCTTACATCTTAAATTAACCCATTTCTATTTATCTGTCTATCACCACAAAGCTGTGGCCTACTGGTAAGGCTCCAATGTTCTGGCTTCTTTCTCCTTTGGCAGCTACATGGCATTTCTGTACCTCTGCCTACTCTCTCTATATATCTATGTTTGGATTTCCCACCCGGCTTTACCCTGCTAAGCCACTGGCTGAAACAGATTTATTCATTAGCTAATAAAAGCACCACATATACAGAAGGACATCCCACATCAGGCATCTACCTACTCAGATGACAGGCATGAGTGTGGAACAGCAGAGATGCACAGTGCCATGGTGTGTAATATTCCCATTACAGAATGCAACATGTGTAAACATCCCTGATGGCATAAATAACATGAAAGGTAAAAGGGCTGGGAAATTGCAGGATTTGAGTACCTCTTACCTTTGACTTTGATGGAACACAGCCTGAGCTGTTCCACTGGACTTGTAACTCCATTTTTAGCATGGCTTTGTTTAACCAGCTACAAAATCTTTGCAAATCCAGCACTCAAATACCAGGCCACAGGAGGCTCCTATGGACCTAACTAAGGGTGTGAGGGATGGGAGGGAGGTAGAGGAGAGGGAGACCTGAGTGAAAAAATCCAGGGACTGGGCCCTTGCTTCAGGAGACCAACCTGTGATAAAGCCAGAAGGAACAAACAGGAAGCTGAGCCTGTCCATTGACAGGGAGGGGGCGGGGGGTGGGGTAGGGGAGTGTGAGCTAAACTTTAAGAACCTCTTACTTCTCAGCAATTACAGTGTGAAGGGTCAGGCCCCTCGCCTGGCACCACTAACTCCTGGCTCATTTCTTCTCATCTCTCAGTCCTGACTCCCAGGCCCTGTTGTGGAACAGTGACCACCTGCTTCCTACTTCTCCCTTTGCCCGGCCCACATCCTGTTTGCAATTATTTCTATAAGCTGTAGGAGGGCAGGAGCTGTGTGGCTTCCGGCCTCACCCTGAAGGAGCCTGGAACATAGCTTAGAAAAAGCTCAGTGGACACTGTGGCCAGCCCCACCCCATGATTCCAGGCATTGCCCTCCTCGGCCTTATCTAAGGCCAGTTTCCTATTTGGGTATCAGGTTTGGGTAATAGGGGCAGGTGCGCTGCCTGGCTTTATCAGCTGGGCAAGTGTAATGGGAGTCACCTTTCAGATAAGACACGGGTAGGAGGAGACGTTGGAGCATGAGGTCATAGAGGGAATCTCTTGGCCTGGTTTCCAGGCTCTCAAAGCAGTTCTGTTCATTCATTCATTCATTCATTCATTCATTCATTCATTCATTTTTTCCTCTAACAATGTGCTCTGAACACTGACTCCCCAGCCCTGAAGAAAAGCACCTGGCGTTCCATCTCTGCTCAGATGTAGGTCCAGCAGAGTACCGGTTTCTGGAATTAAGAGGGTGTACTTTCAGATTCTGGGTCTTCGCTGACACCTAGGAAACCATGGCTCTTCCTTTCTTGAGCTTCTGTTTCCCTCCCTTGGGATTCACAAGGCTCCCTGCAAGGCTGCTGTAGGCTGCAGGTGGTGAAGTTGATATAATTACCTTCTTCCGTTTGAAGTTCTCTCTGTTGCCAGCTCCCCTTGATGCTGCATCCCAGTCAACCCCTACGTTTCCCAGTGACTTTTCCTCCTCCTTTCTTCAAAGCAAGGTCTTTAGTCTGCTCTGTGTCGCTGCCAGTTACCATTTCCTAAAGTGCAGTGCCCAGACCACCAGCTCCCAAGTCACCCAGGGGCCTATAGGATGCCAATCCCAGACCACCAGCTCCCGAGTCACCCAGGGGCCTATAGGATGCCAATCCCAGACCACCAGCTCCCGAGTCACCCAGGGGCCTGTAGGATGCCAATCCCAGACCACCAGCTCCTGAGTCACCCAGGGGCCTTCTAGGATGCCAATCCCAGACCACCAGCTTCTGAATCACTCAGGGGGGCTGCTAGGATGTCAACCCCTGAAACTCAGGAAATTATATAGATACAAAACAGAAATGTTTAGAAAAATTTGAGATTATAATTTAATTACATTTTTTCCTTTCCATTTTTTACATCTAAAACCTCCCGCAATCCCCCCTCCACTCTCCTTCAGATTCATGGCCTATTTCTACCTGCATTGTTACAAAGGATCCCATTTCATGGAATCAGAACACAGCTCCACAGACAGCATAGCAAACCTATTCCTGAGGCGAATGCCTACCCTTGGCGCTTCTGGACTCTGAGATGCCCTTTGGTGGCAGTGCCAGGTGCCAAGGAGAAAGAATGGCAGGAGGGTCCAGAAACATGTGTGTCTAGCAGCAAGACTAGGAGAGGGAACACGCATGATGCTGGCATGAACCAACAGGGAGAAATGGGCATAAAGGAGCAGCAAGTACTGGTGCCACCTGCACCTGGGGGTGGCATCTACCCTCGGCAGAGGAGACTCCAGGCGCAGTTCTCCCAGAGGCACACAGAGGCTCTGCAGGTGGTATCCAACAAAGAAATTCTCCAGGTCAAGTGTGCAGATATCCTGAATGCCTGGCTTCAAATATTTTGTTCCTGTGTTAGATATGTGTCCTGGTGCCATTAATGGAGACCTCCCATGGGTTGGGTGGAGCACCGTGCCCGAATGCCTGTGGAAGAGAAAAGACACTAAGGTCAAACTGGGAAAGCTGTTCTGACTATGCAAGGTGGGAGAGTGAAGTTGAAAAGGTCACGTGACTTCTCAGAGCCTTGGTTTGCCCATCTGTAAAACCAGAGCAAACAAACCCTGCCTCTCAGGCTATTGGTGAGGAAGTGGGTGAACTGGAAGAAGCATTCATGGCCCCACACAAACACAGGCAGGGAGCAAGGGCTCTGTCTTTCCCCACCCCTTGTCCTGAACAGGATCCCAGGCACAGGCTCCTCCTCTCCCAAGCGGAAGGAAGGGAAGGAAGTCGGTCCACAGTCCCATTGACTGCCTGGGCTCTGGCAGCCAGCGTCTGAAACCACCCACCAAGATGATGTTCCCGTCTGCGAGCTGCACTTTGATGGACATGCCTGTGCTGAGCACAGAAGGCTTGCATTTTCCTCGAGACAGTTGGAGAGACAGGAAGTGGGAGGCACTGGGAGGCAGAAGGAGGATCCCAAGCCAGGGCCAGCAGGAGAGCCTGGAGCATGCCAGGAAGCCTGCAGTAGATGCTCAAATGACCAGCGAAGGACAAGGGGAGCTTGTTTAAGACCCGAGTCCTTGGCATTTCGTTCCGAGTGAGGCAAGACTTCAGTCAACTCAGCTGACAAGGGTGGGGAGGCACTGAGGCTGGGAGGTGGCCCGGGATCCGAAGCAGTGATGTGTGACTCCATGGCTGTACCTCACACAGGGAGGGAGTCACATTACAAATTCCAGAAAGGCTGGGAGTTCTCAGAATAGTCTTCTAGGCTCTCTGCAGGCGATACTGCTAACTGTCCCCAGGCTGTGTCTCCATTTTGCCCCGTGTTTTTGGATCCATTCTTGAGACCCTTCTGGGCATGACTGGGGTCCACAGGGATGCCAACAGTAGTGAGGGAGTATACGGTACAGGAGTGAACAATATCCTAAGATCTCCCGTGACTCCTGGATTGACTCCACCAGTTCCTGGAGCTCCTTTGACCCTCTTTATCCTCCTGGATAGAATCAAGAAGATCTGGCTTCATTCACCACAGAAGTTACAGAACAGGAAGCCACCGAAAGCAGGAGGTGACCCACAGCAGTCACCCAACAATTGCTGCAAATACTTTACTGCCAATGGGTCAGCCATAGGGTCTCTTGGCTCCTCCCTGGAGTCCAGAAAGTGTGGCTAACACTGTTCTTTGGTGCTTGTCTTGAGTGCATGTGCCTTTGTCTCCCTACTAGGTGACAACCCAAAGCTACCCCCCTAAGTCCCCCAGATGCTGGGCTGAATCACAGGCTGATACAGAAGTGCTTAGAAGACGCAGATGAGTGGCTACTGATCCACTAAGAAGCTGGCTTCTGGCAAGTCATTCTGAAGTGATCCCTGGACCAGCTTGACTCCTGACCTTATTCAGATAAGAAGGTACCCTCTGGCCTCCACCAGAACCCCTTTGCTCAGCCCCACTTTTGGGGCTGAGAACAGGGGATCCCTCTATCCACGGGAAACCCCCAGGCAGGCTCTCTGTGGAGCGCTCTTGGGCTACTCCAAGATGCCGAGCGTCTCCCTCCTCCAGGCCCTGCTTCAAACCACCATTTGCATCTCTCTGTCTTCCAGAAGGTCCAGACAGCCTCTCCTCTGGCTTGTTTCACATCTCCTGCTTTCCTGTGTCTCCAAACCAAGTGGTCAGGACGGCCCGTTGTCTTGATGCAGAGAATGGCTCATCAGGCAACTCTTTGCCTCTGACACTTGGTAAGTGGCTTTACATGTCTCTTTGAAGTACATTCGCTGTAGCTTGACACAAACCAGACACGGAGCTGAGGGCGAACTCCGCGTCATTCTCTCACCAACCCTGGGGGATGAACTCTATTATTTCCCCAGCTTTATGGTTGGGAAATAGAACCTCTGGAAGGGTCCAGGACTGCCCTGAGGTCTTCTGGCTGATAACGGCCAGCAGTGTTGGGACCAGGCTGGAGGTGTGCCTGGGTTCCAGGTCTGCTACCAACAACCACCTCACCACGCTGTAGGTTTCAGTGCCACCTGCTGCAGCATCTTATGGGGACTGGCTCAGGGCCTATTCACTTTAAGGGAGGCACTCAACAGTGTGGGTGGTGGCTGAGAAGTCCCCACGGAGCAGGGTTAGCCAACAACATAGCCAGGCTTATTCCTGGCTTCGAGGCAGAGGCTGAAGCAGAATTGCAGTGTAAATCTTGAAGCTACTACCACCACACTGGGGGACTGTATGGACAGAGACTGGGGGGTTGCCAGGCCCCACAGGCAAGGACTCTACATAGAATCTGATGGGCAGTAGAAGTAAGGAAGCATAGTTAGTCCCTCTGCCTCTGTTTGGCTGAGTTTCCAACCTGCTCGGGTATCTCCTCCTAAAGGAAGCTTCTCCTGATTGCTTCTCTGTATCCTCGATGGCATTGGGCGCCACCCTCTCATTTGCCTATGCATTATCTTCTTGGTACTTAACGCAATGCATCTGCTAGTCTGTATGTCCCTGCCTGCTCTGCTGTGAGCTCGTGCTGCCCAACTTCGAACTAGCAAAGCTAGACACAGGAGATTTGTTGAACACACGGGGAGGGGGATGGTGAGCAGAGACATGGAGGAGAGAGAAGGCCAGAGTTGGGAGTGATGGCAGATTTACTTAGAGCTTGAGACACCCCCACAGGCGCAAGTTAGCGTGTGTCTCTGGAAAGGTGGTTTGTCCCCAGGATAGTCCTCACGGCTGTGAGCACTGTTCGTGGAAACTCTTGCTTTTCCAACATTTCTCAAATAGGATTCAGACCTATTCTCAGAGAGGCTCCGGGAAACCCTGTGGTGCCAACACAGAAGCCCATCAGAGTGTTTGCTTTGCTGCTTAGAGCTGACCTGAGAAAGAAGAACCCTAATCCTGGTGGCACAGCCAAGAGATCCTGTGTGCACAGAATGGGGTAAGCACACCCCAATATGGCGGTCAAGGCTGAGCTGTGGGCTCTAGATCCTCGTTCCTTGCTCCCAAGGCTTTGAAATGTCAAGCGTGTACTGATTGGACTTGCTCAGAGGGGAAGCAGGAGCCCAGACTCACTGTGGAAATGAGTTACCCATGCCGGTGAAGTCTGAAGCCGAGTCCTCCAAGCCTGGGAGGTAGCAGCCATTGTGTGGAGTGGGAGAATGGATAAGTCTCTGCATGCCAAGAAGAGATGGCTCTTCCCAGGCCCAGAGCAAGAGGTACTGGCCTGGAAATGGCCACTGCTGGAGAGGGCCATGTCCTTGTCTGTAGGGAGGATCAGAAAATCAGTTGCCTCAAGGAGTAGCCAAAGGGAGAGGACATGGGACCAGCCTGGAGGCAGCAGTTTCTCCACAACTAGTGTACGTGTGAGCACTTAGAACTTGTGGCTATAAGAGTATGGAAGGCAGAATAATGGCCACCAAGAATATCCACATTCCCACCCTGGAACCCACGGGGATGTCACCTTAGGCTACAAGGGATACTCTGCAGACAGGATTCAGTGAAGTCCCTGGGATGGGGAGGTGACCAGACTGTCCAGGCTGGCCACCTGAATCTCATATGCCACTAAAATCAGAGACCCTTTCCCATTGGCTGTCTGAAGAACGTGTGACAACTGAAGCTTGGGTTTGGCCAGCTACACCTCCAGAGCAGGTTCCAGTTTCCCACTGTGTTTGCCTACACTCAGGCCTCAGCTTCCTCCAGGATCGCCCGCACTTCTCCCTCTCCTGCTGCTGTGCACCAGGAAGAGCTGTCTGCACCCAGGGCTCCATCCGTGCTCTTCTCTGCCTGCGATTTGCTGTCTTCATTCAGCCGGCCTCCGTGGCCTGAAATGCTCTCCCCAGTCTATAAATCCTCAAGATGGGCCTCTGTGTACCAGTCATTGCCACCTGATCCCAGACTAAAACTTCTCCATGGGGTCTCGCTGTCTGAGAGTTTCCTGGAATGTCAAGACCCTACTTGATCCTGCCATCTGCTTGTTGCTCCGTCTGTCTGGCATCCCTGGGTTCATGCGAACTCCTTCTAAGAGTGGAGTGAGTCTAGTGTATCATTCATAAACAAACATACTGCATATTTCCTGGAGAAAGTCTGTGAGGACACTGTAACAACTTTCCTGAGACTCTGTGACTTAAACAACCCGTACTTAGTGTTCTGAGAGTTAGAAAGACTGTAACCTGAGTACTGAGATGGTAAGATGGTTGGGTGCTGGCAAGGACTACCTCTTGCCTTGCAATGGTGGTTTTCTTGCTATGTTCTCCAAGCAGAGAGTGAGCAAGCTTCCCTGTGTCTGAGGAGGGCATCTGTCCCACTCACGACTACCTTCTAAGTCCTTCCTCTTAAAACTACACACTGTGGGGTAGAATTCCAACATCTGAGCTTGAAGGGCAGGCATCAGAAGGCCTCCATAACAGAGGGCAAGCTCAGGGGGCACATGGAAAGAGGCAGGGTTATGGGGGTGTCTGAGACCTTCACTTTTTATTCCAGTGTCTGCTTTCTACAATGCTTAAACATTTTCCGATCACGTAACGAATCTCTGTGCATACTTGAGTCTGTAGTAGCCAAGTTTAGCCAGAATCTTTAAATCCGACTGCTGACATTTACTAAGTAAGCACTTGGACCTTAACAATAATCCCAGGAGGCAAGAAGAATGCCAGAAGCTTCTATACAGCTCAGCTATTGCAGCAAGAAATGAATCCGAATGCAACACAGGAAACGGCAGACCTCACACACGTCAGCTGGTGAAACGGCTGCACGTGAACGCTCCTTCCTGGTCGCCTGGCTCTAAAGCTAGTATCATTAATTCTCGCTCTCCTGTTACAGACCACAAAAGTGTGGCTTCCAGAAGATGTGACCTTAAGCTCTTGTAGCTAGGGAACCATGGTGTCAGCTTCTGCCTGTGCGCCCCCTCACTCCCAGTAGAAGGAAGTGTCCCGCGTCACCAAAGGTGATGGAGCTCATCCTAGGCCACAGGAACTATGGTGCTGTTTCCAATTTCCCCCACATAAAAGCCTTCTAGTCTGCATGGTTGGTCTAGAATGCATTCACTTTGCTCATTATGGCCTGAATTGTGCCCCATCCTCTTGGAATTTGTATGTTAAATCCCTCAGACCTCAGGAGGGGGCTGCATTAGCAGATAAAGTCTGAAAATAGCTCATGAAGCTCACAGTTCTTTTTTTTTTTCTCACAGTTTTTTTAGTCCAATATAACTTACATCCCTAAATAAAAAAGAGAACCTGGACACATAGAGGAAAGACAGAATCAGTGAAGCCAGCCATTTCGAGGCAAGAGAAGAAGCCTCAGAAGAGAAGGCTGCTAACACCGTTAGCTTGGAATTCAGAACTCCAAGACAGCAATCCTCCAAAGTGCAAGCCCCTTGATCCATGGCATATTATCATACAGTTTGTAAAGCTGATATTTTACTTACTTTTTCCTTGTCTTTGAGACAAGGCCTCACTAAGTAGCCTAAGTTGTGCTCAAACTGATAATCCTCCTGCCTCAACCTCTGGACTGCCAATGTTGTAACTATATACAACCATGCCTAGCTTACATTGCCCTGGTCTTTTTTTATTTTTTTTTCTGATTATGTTTTATTTATGTCTGTTTGAGTGTTGTTTTGGAGACAGGGTCTTACTCCATAGCCCTGGTTGGTCTGGATTTGATTGTTCCAAAGGTAATCAATAGCTATGTGGACCAGTCAGGCCTCAAACTTGTGGCCCTCCTCCTACTTCAAGTTTCCAGGTTCTGGGATTACAGGCATGTGCCATCATTCCGTGCCGCCTATTCTTTTTTTTTCTCAGATTGTAGGTTTTTATTTCATATAAAGTCACACAACTGAATATGGGAGTTGAAAATAATGGGCAATTACAAATTTTTCCTAAACATACAATAGCCAAATACTAGTACCAGATCAAATGTGTAGCGAATCACAGGCTCTCCGATGATGCTTCCCTGTCATACAGCTTCCTGCAGCCTTGGCTCCGAACACGTGATGTGTCTGAGTTTTCCCTGCGCATGCCACCTTCGTGCCGCCTATTCTTATAAAGAAATCCATATGCTTCTGCTGGAGTGTTAACAAGAACTAAAGAAGGACAAAGACAATTCTAAATGCTGGGATGGTGCGGAACTTCTGGAACTTGTTCACCTTCCCGGTAGGAAGGAACACCATGACAGCCACTCCAGAAAAACACATTTGGAAGTTTGTCGTGTAGTGATATGTAGCTGATTGAGGCCTCCTCAACCGTACTGAGATGTTTAAATGAAACATGTCCACTCAAAAACAGTCACAACTTTATTCAAAAGACCTGAAAGGAATCCAGATCTCCTTCAGCCAGTGAGAATCTGGGTACTAAAGTGGGGACAACAGCAATTTTGACAACTAGCAGTAAAGTGGAGCCATTCTGACCCATGCAGCAGCCCGGCTGGATCTTAGATGTGTGGCACTAAGCAGAAGAAATCGGTCTTAGTGGGTCATCACCTGCATCCGTCCACTTACTGGGCACGCTGGAAAAGGTGAAATCCTCGGAATAGATCGGTGTTTGCAGGGGGCAAGCTTGGCATCAGGCGGAAGCTTGAGGGAACAAGACAGGCAGAGCTGTACGGCTGCTCTGGGTTTTGAGGGCACTCTGGTCATACCAATGAGTGCCTAGAACCAGACCACAAAGAGTGGATTTAACTCTGTGGGAAATAAGACAATTTCAAAAACAAACCACAAGCCAGTGGTGACCTGCTGAGCTGTGGAAAGGTCCTCCCAGCCCCTCCCTCTAACAGTCTGCCCGGCTGTCCTCTGCATTATCCGCCATCGTTCCGTCAGGAGGACACAGATTGGAGCCCTGTTTTCTTTTTCCTGTGTGTGTGTGTGTGTGTGTGTGTCTGTGTGTCTGTGTGTCTGTGTGTCTGTGTCTATGTCTGTGCCTGCATGTGTGCGCCTGTGCATGCCTGTATGTGTACATGTATATAGGCCTGTGTGCACACAGGTGGTTTTAGGGCACTTTAGACTTAGGCAGAAACTGAGTCCCCAGCTCCACTCAAATGGCTGGTGTGGCATCAGGGAACATTGTCACTAGTCACCAGCTTCAGCCCAGCTACTCAGCCTGTCTGTGCCACAGAAATTGCTGCTGAGACTATCATGGTGACAGAGCAGATCTGAATTCCTTCCGGCCCTTAGGTTTCGCTAGCTAGAATGGACAGCCATCACTGAGGAGCAAGAGTCTTTGCTGCGGCCCCTAAGGGAGCCAGCAGGCCTGCTGGGCTAAGCTGCGGCAAGATGGCCAAGTGGGAATTGCTTTCCTGGCTCTGGCTATGTGCTTTGCCCAGCTGTCCAGTCCATGGCTCTGAAGTGAGAGGGGCAGGGGAAAGATGGCCTGAAGTCAGAAGGGAGGCTTTGAACTGGTGGCTCAGTTGTGAAAGACCGCAGGCACCCTGGGTACTTTTGTTCTCTGGGACTTGGTCCCTCTGGTATCAGCAAGTCCCCAAAGTATGAAGAGTGCGGAACGAAAGGATATGTGAAACTTGACGAGCACTGAACCGTCCCCCACCCTCAGGGTTCTGGAGATTGAAGCCAGACCTGCACACAGCCTTGTTTATAGACTACTGGGGATTGAACCCAGGGCTCCACATATGCCAGGCAAGCATTCTTCTTACTCGCTGAGCTACACCCCCAGCAGGAGTGAGGTTTTAACCTCCTGTTTTTTCCCTAACTAGCCACTTCACATTCTGTAAGTTACTTAATGTCCCTAACCTCCAGTACCCTCATTTCCAAAACAAGGCTTATTGTCGAGATTAAATGAGGCCTGGAGGTGTACTCAGTGGTAGAGTTCTTGCCTGGCACTCATGAGACTTTGGGTTCCATTCCCAGCACCGTAAGAGCAGAAAGAGCAAAAAGACTAAATAAAATAACTGTATGTCATATTGAACACCATACCCTGCAGGTAGCAAGAAGAATGGTAACCGCTCACTGCTCACCAAAACAAACAAATACTTGTCTCTGTGAGTTCCAGACAACTGTGCACTGAAACTGGAGAAAGATGTGGGCTGTCGGCATCTCAAGAAGAACCCCTGCAAAGTTTATTAGACTTGTGGGCATGGGTAGGCCTGACCCTCGCAGCCTTGGCAACCAACAAGGCTTTAAGTTTGAGCCATATGGTTTTATGGCAGACCTTGAAAACTATTCAAGCTGGGCACAACCTACGGCGTGAGTCCTCTCCTTTAGGGAGCATAGAGAGGCCAAGGAATTAGCGTGTGTGGTGAGGAGGCTTTGATCTATCTGGTGGAGAAAGGCCTTAGCAGCTTTGTGTTCCAACCAGCAAGAATTCCCAAGACCAAGCCGTCACATTCAGTTTGCTGAGTCCCAGGTCTACGTTAGTGAAAGGGAATGCTTTGTCTCCGTGCTGTGTAAGGAAGGTGTGTTGGTTTCGATGTTATTGTAAATACTGTTAATAGGAGTATTAGGAAAGTTAAGTCATGAATTCAGTTTCTAATAGATGCCTCACTAAATAGAAAATAACGAGAGCAGAATAGGATTCAGCAATGTAAGTGGGGTGACCAGCTGTCTGATTTTGAGACAAGGGATATCGTATAACAAGTAGAATGTCTTATTTGACCATTGACCAGTCTGGATTCAAGACAAGAAACCCTTTGCCTAGCGTATATAATGTGTAAAGCCTTTGTTTCACACACACACACACACACACACACACACACACACACACACACGAGAGAGAGAGAGAGAGAGAGAGAGAGAGAGAGAGAGAGAGAGAGAGAGAGAGAGAGAGAGAGGTGGGCAGGTAGCCTACATGTCTCCTAAAGGTTGTTTGGAATTCAATAAGACTCATGTTTTAAGTAACATGAATGTCAAATCATGTTTGTAAGTTAGAGAAGTCACAGAATAGAGTGAGTGGCCTTCTGTGAGCTGTGAGTCAGGCTTTTTGAGGGGGAGGAATGTCACCCCCAGTGTCATTTGTTAGAACCTTGATTTGGGCCTTTGCTGAAGGTACTAGGAAGGGCCTCTGGAAGGGTCTCGCAGACTGCATCGGAAATAAGGCCTTAGATGGGGCCTCATGCTTGGTGGTGCCTGACATTCCAAAGCAGCCAGACTCACCCTGGTTGGTTTTGTTGATGTGTTTGTTGGTGTTAGTCTTCTGCCCAAAGAGAAGCTGAGGTAGAACAGAGCAAGCAGCTGAGCTCCAAGATAAACGTCCCCTAGCCTGCCTTTTCGTATTACAACGGCTCTCTCCACTACCCTGAGAGAGCCATGCACCACCGGGGTCACTCTGCAGAGGTGGGGAATGAAGAGGGCAACAGGGACCATAAAATAAAGATCCGAGCTGTGAAGGGACAGGCAGTGTAGCTGTCAAGAAAGAACATGGCGGGCTGGAGAGATGGCTCAGAGGTTAAGAGCATTGCCTGCTCTTCCAGAGGTCCTGAGTTCAATTCCCAGCAACCACATGGTGGCTCACAACCATCTGTACTGAGATCTGGCGCCCTCCTCTGGTGTGCGGGCATACATCGAGGCAGAATGTTGTATACATAATAAATAAATAAATCTTTAAAAAAAAAAAAAGAAAGAAAGAACATGGCTCTCTTTCCTCCCTCCCAAAGAGGGGGCCGTCCCATGAAAGGTGGTCAGATCTTTGAAAGTCATTCAGTAGCTGGACATTGAAAGTACTCAGAAGGTAAACACATACTATCTATAGCTGCTGGGGGCTGTCCCAGTAAGAACGGGGGGGGGGGGGGATGGATGCTCTTTGAGCCCAAGGAAGGAGCTCTTTACCTCCTGCCCTCTGGATCCCAGATGGGTGCTAGCACCAGGAGGATCTCACAGGATCTGCATAAATTCCAGGGTGAGCCTGCAAAACCCAAACTTCCTGATCTTATCTCCTGCTGTGGGTTTTTCCCACAGGGAGGCAGAAAAGGTCAGCTGTGTGTTCTGGGCACCTTGGGACAGGCCCACTCCCTTCTGCTTGTGTCTTTGTGAAGACACAATGTCTTTGTGAAGCTCACACCAGCTCAGCCCCTACTTTCCGAACATACCAGGAACTCTAAGTGACAGATGCCACCATGGGCCGGCCTGCAAGATTACTGAAAATCAGGTGTACTTGAAGGTTTGGCTAGGCTTCTGCTTGAGACACTGCTCCAAGCCAGAGATGCGGGCAGAATTGGATACCCTGTCACCTTGACCTAGGGGATTGGTCTGAGATACCACATCTTTGTGATTTGTGTGAACCATCTTCATGACAGCTGTGTTCTACCAGGACAGTTGTATGGTGTTTCAAGCCGTTTGTTTTGTTTTCTTTAATAATTTGAAAGAGGTATTGATGAAGAGGGACGGGAAAATCCGTATCTGGGTAGAAAGTGGCCACACACAGAGCACAATGTGTATTCTACAATAGGAACAAGTAATTAACCACACAGAGCCGTGGGGGGGGGGGGATTCACACGAGGTCAGCTGAGTGGGAAGCTGGCACCACCTAACTTTACTGCAATTGGCAAGGCATTAATAAGGTAAAACCAGTCTCTTTGGCTCAGAGTCGGGAGGGAGTTCTGTAGAGGGGGACAGAGTAAGACGGGACAAAGGATACTGTTGTTTTGGTTTTTTTTTTTTTTTAATTGAAAATGGCCTTTGGATCAGGTGCAGGCTTCCCAGGTTTCTCAGCCTGTAATAAACTCAGTTTAATGTCCAGTTAACAGTAGCTATGGTGATAAGCTACAATAACACACCCGCACGCGCACACACAAGCAGAAACACAGCAAACATGACTGCACTGTTCACTTCCACCTAGAACCCCTGGTTGGGGACCTAAGCCTGTATGTAGCCCTGATAAGACCAGGGTGCACCCAGGGCTTGCTGCCTGCTGGCCCAGCTCTCAGCTCCTCCAGGTCAAATGCCCTGGAGGGCTGGAGGGGAGGTGGATTTCTGCCCCGGCACTGCTCTTGCCTGTGTCCTGACTCTGGGAAAACACAGCAGAAGACACCTTCTCCCGGGGCCCAGGCAGGCAGAGAGCTGGGACTGCTGTTCTTGGGATAACTGGTGCAAGAGAACCACAGAGGGGAGCATCTCCCTGCTGGGGATAAGTCTGGTCCCATGCCCTGTCACAGTGGCTGTGGCGCAGGTGAGGAACTGACTTTGGGGGACTTTGCCAGGGTCTTCCTGTCGTATCATCAGGTGTGCGCTAGACTTTGGGCTATCTACCCTTCATGTCTAGCCTAGGAAGTGAACTGGTGCTGTCACCATCGCGGGACAAAGGGAGCTGATGGGGAGGGCTAAGCGACACAGCTTGGTGTTACTTGGATGAAACCCACCAGCGACACCTCCCATCTCCTCGGGCTTCAGCGGAAAGCCTTCTGTGTGACTTGATCCCACCCGACCCCCAGGGCATCCCCAGTACCAAAGGGCTGACAAGGAGCCCACAGCTGCCTTTTAAACTCTTTAACATTAAGCGTTAATGATTAAATGGGGTTCTTCCATTAACCCAGCGCACGGGCCTTTGTCTCCTGGCCAAGGAGGAGTCTCTTGCTTTGAAATGCCACATAAAAATGATAAATGTTCTTTTCCTCCCTCCCAGGGTCGCCAGGTCCCAGTATTCCTTTAAAGTTTGAGAGGGCAACACAGGGTGCGCCTTGTTTAAACACAAAAGCACTAGGCCAGTCCAGGCTGGGCGGTCAGGGCAGGGTTGCACCCCCGGGGGAGACAGGCATGGCAGCTACAGGGACTCGGGGACAGTCAGGAAAGAAAGCCCGGCAGCCACTGCAGCGTGAGGGCTCAGAGTACTTGAATATCCACAGGCACAGATCTTTCAGAGGAATGAGTGAAGCCTGAAGCTGCC